ATGCCAACCCTGAGTATTTTAACCCGTAGGCACGATGAACCTGAGAGGCATGAGACTTAACTGAGTTTTACCAGGTCATGTGGTTACGACAAGCAGCAGAGATCAACAGTCAATGGAACTCACTGCAGAATTCTCGTCGAACGTATCTTCCAAGATCATATAAAGCCTTTTTGAATTAGAGTTCTGAACTTCGGGAAGAGGCCAAAGATTTTTTCTCCTTTGCTTAGATAACCGCAGATGATAAATGCTCTTTCTTTCTTCCATGGTCTCGTGTTAGCGTGACAACCGATTTTGATCCCTTATCGGCTGATAATACAATCTTCTTTTTTTAATGGGTCGTAATACTTCGAGATGACGTGTGACAGATTTGACCGGCAATTCTTGACTGTTTTCCAAATTATAAGGCAGATGCCGTTCACTGCACCATCTCCATTCTTTTTGATTACCTTTCTCGATCTGTGATACCTTGTTCAATGCCAGCTATAAGATCAGAAATATGTGAAACCCTTGACGAGGCAAGAAAATTGTCCAAGAGCGAGCACATCCTTTTCGATGTCAGTGAAGGTGTACGATTAACGATCAAAGAACAGTGAAGGATCTCATCCGGTCAAGCTTCCTTTTTCGTAAAGTGTAAGTCATCTGAATATACATTTTTTATGCAATCAAAGTGCGACGATAATTTTCCTTTATCATTTGCTTAGCTTTGAAGAAATCCTGCTCCGATATTAGATTTTCGATGCTATTCCAACAATGGACTAGTCTGTCCTCCAATCATCTTGTATCATAACACCTGCGTTGAAGTTTGGGCGACAACAATTTTCTGGAGCATTTCTAAAAAATGGCAGCCGACAAAAATGATAATAATCTACCAAGCTTAAACTCGATCGTATCCAGTGCTCCTTTGTTCAATGCTCCTTTCAATTTGATTGTGATAACTCTCTACAAGTGAAGAAATAATTTAGGAAGTATGGTGCAATACTACTGAAGTCCCGGTCGCTGCACAACAAGTGGTAAACGTACTGCAACGGTCAGCGATGACCGGCTGTAACCAAGCGGAGGCAATTAGACGCGGTTTCGCCGCACGCCACCTTAGACATGGGGCGAACAAAATGGCAAGCTCTAGTCTCCCGCAAATGACCGGAAACGTGGGTCCAACAAAGGAGGGAGCGGTCGCCTTCAACAAGGGACTAAAAACGTGGGCCGAAGAAAAGAGCGCTCTCCCTCCAAACGCCGCACCTTGCACCGGAAGTACAGCCAGCAGGTCAACGCGAACCGGTCCTTGAGGATGAACAAAGAATCCGCAGGCGTATAAGAAGACCAGTCAGTGTTGGAATTGAGAGATTATTATGTAGATATGGAGAATGGAGATTATGATATTTCGTGTGGGGAGTTGTCTTTTGTATGTGCGCTGTGGTTGCAAGTAAAACCTTGTGACACAAGATGCTGCGTTCCGTTTGCTAACAATCAGCAGCTGATTGCAATACTGAAACCAAGGACTGCTTTCGTATTGCGCTTAAATAGTGAGAAGCAAAATGGGGGGGGGGTCAATGAATGCAATTTGACATTTTGCTAAAATGAAATTTCAACAGTTAGAGAGACAGATCTACCGCTAGAAGCAAGTAGATAGCGCGATCATACCGCTTAAAATCGCCGTGGTTGTCGTAAAATATGAAAATTCCTCATTAAGTTCCGAATACTAGTTTTCAAGTCAGTAAAACAGGTTGATGAGTACTCAGCCTGATTTTTGCCATCGTTCATTATATATTCTCGGGCACTTCGTCGTAGACAGCAGAGAGCCATCAAAACACGTGATCAAAAGATAGAGCATCTTGTTAATGTCAGCCATCGTCAAAAAATACATCAAAAAATTGTTAATCCAAGCTCAAGACCCTACAGCTGGTCAACTGGATGATAGACCAACACAAACGTTTTGATCAGGACACACTAGACATTCTTCGAAGTAAGTTTATGGGTTTCTGTTGGCCGTGGTCTGGTTACCTGCAGTAGCTGATCTACGTGGAATCGAAATGCATACAACTACATCGTCGTCAATAAGTATTCACAAGCCGTAGATGACCGGGGTTACTCGAAAGGAAGAGCGGACTCAAAGCCGACAGGCCCAAGGTTCAAGATCTGGTTGGGTCACTCGTCTTCCTTCCTTCCGAGGTTGATAAATGAGTACCATTCTGAGGGAAAGAAACAGAACACTCGCGCTATACATACCACATAGTCGCTGTCGACCCAGCCTTTAAAAATTAGATACTCCTGCATGATGGCATGGAAATGCAGATCAGCGCCCCACTGATAACTTCATGAAAATAAGAGCACGAGAAACGGCATTATCTTGAAAGTGCAAGGAAAACGGTTCTGCTATGAACACATC